TGCGTTACCTAGGGACGTGGTGGAATCTCCTTCCTTGGAGGTTTTTAAGGCCCGGCTTGACAAAGCCCTGGCTGGGATGATTTAGTTGGGAATTGGTCCTGCTTTGAGCAGGGGGTTGGACTAGATGACCTCCTGAGGTCCCTTCCAACCCTGATATTCTATGATTCTATGAAAATACAGACAGCTTTCCTGGACTCCTTTCCCCCTCATATTAGTCTCCCAGGGGATCCTGCCCATCAGTTCCCTACGGGAGTCAAAGTCTGCTTTTCTGAAGTCCAGGGTCCATATTTTGCTACTCTCCTTTCTTCCTTTTATGAGTATCCTGAACTCAACCATCTCATGGTCACTGTTGCCCAGGTTGCCACTCACTTCTTCTTCCCCTACCAATTCTTCCCTGTTTGTAAGCAGCAGGTCAAGAGGAGAACGGCCCCTGGTTGGTTCCTCCAGTAGCTGCACCAGGAAGTTGTCGCCAACACTCCAAAAACTTCCTGGTTTGTCTGTGTACTGCTGTATTGCTTTCCCAGCAGATGTCAGATTCAAGTATAAACCAAGGGAGATAAATTTAAAGAATGCAATTTATATTAAGTAAATGGAGCGAATGACTAACAGGAGACTAATTGGCACTCCTGTGTTGTCAAATCTAGTAATTCATATTCTAGATCCAAGCAATTGGTTTTCAGGTTCCACTGGATGACTGTAAAGAGAAAAATGGGACAACTAACAGCAGCCTTATGAGAAATACTAGAGCTTAAAACTTCCAAAGTAAAGATTATTTTGTAGTTTTCTTTTGTTAGGGGTAGGCCTCTGAAAATCAGAAGGAAGTTTTGCCTAATTCAGGGGAACTTCCCCTGCCCCAGATTCTGAAGGAATTTTGGGAAAATCAATGGGAACTTAAGAGTGAATGCACTCAAAATATATAAATGACAAGACCAGTACATTTAGATATTATTTATGGCTTTGAACAGTTTTAAATATAACTTATTTTATTTCATTCAGTTGAGGGATGTTTATTTTGGATTCCCCCATTAAGATCTTCCTGTTCTGATAGATATTCCACAAGTCACTAGATGTCTCATAACTTGTCATAGAGCAAAATCCAGTGGCTGCTAGAGCTAAGGAACCCTGACTCCCAGTTCTCTATTCTGAACACTAAACTCCAAGTCACTTTTCTGCATTTAAACATAACATTGAGGATGAGAGAGTAGATTACCAGATTCATTGAATTAAATGAATAAGTCTACCACTATCATCTGAAGAGTTTTCCGTAGCTGTAAGATCAGAAATGTAAATTATAACTACATATTGTTATCAAACATTTAGTAGTTTAAATATAGTGAGGTGGCCTTTGAGACTGCTGGACTGAACAAAATGGTTGCAGTTTTCCCTTAAAGTTTTATTTATTTTTCTGTGGCTGGCACTTGTCACTGTCATATTCAAGCACCTCATGAACATTAAATAATTTATCCACTGTGAAGTATCACAGAGAACAGAGGCACAGAGAGATTAAGTGATATGCTCAAATTCACCCAGGAAGTTAGTGGAAAAGCCAGGAACAGAACCCAGGTCTCCTGATCCCTGGTCTATCTAGTACTTTAATGACCTGATTACCCTTCCTCTTTAAGGACCTGATCCTATCCCCATTGAAATCAATGGAAGATGCTCCCTTGACTTTAATGGGGATTAAAGTAAAACAGATTTATATAATGCCACCTCCCCAGCAGATATGCAGATCCTTAATAGTATAGTAGCATTATAGAAAGATAAGGGAAGAGCCTTTTCTTGCAGACCTTTCTAAAGACCCCACTGAGAAATGAGACAGTTCCATTTTCACATATAGAAACTGATAGTGGATTCATCGGATTCTGCATGTACTTCCAGTTTTGTAATTTTATTCTTTCCGCTTTTGGTTGAGGCTGGTAAATCAACATCTGGCTTTTTCTTTCACTCTGGAATGGATGCTTTCTACCTCTTTGCTTCGATGAACTAAAGTAAAATATTCACGCCAAAATAAATCCATATTCTTTTCCCTATATTGTTCAATAAAACTCTCTAACCATCATGTTGGCTTCTAGGGCTCTTGTATCAGGAATATCGAGATAAATCTACACTTCAGGAGATTGAAACCAGACGACTGCAAGATGCACAGACAGACCCTGAGGAGTGCTCAACCGGTGAGGAGACATCATCAGAAGCAGAATCCACAAATACTGCAGAAAGCAGGACTCTTCCCCAAATCAGCTTGCTCAGGAACTCCACCTCCAGGTTTAACTTGTGGCAGGATCTTCCAGAGATCAGGAGCAGCGGTGTCCTGAATATCCTTCAGCCAGATGAGATCAAACTGCAGGAGGTAATGGAAGGCATGAGAGGGAATAAAGAGTTTCTCTGCTGGGTTTTTGCTTAAAGTCGGTGTGACTAGAGTCACTTAAGTCAAAATATCAACATTCAAAAATAAGGAAGTTCCACTGCAGCCAGTGACAGATTGTCATACCCCCATATGTCATACCCCCATAATGCTAATGAGCTTCACTTTCCAAAGAGCATGAGGAAGTTCTGTACCCCGGGCTTAAATTCAGCCAGAGCCTATTATTTTCAAACCCGCGGGAGCCCTGGTGCCTCTTGTGGAGGCTGAAGCCCTGGCGCCCGCCTCGCTGAAGCCCAGAGCCCCGAATGGGGTGAGAGTTATGGGAGACTTCTGGAAATAACCTCTGAGAATTTAAGCCCTGCCTGTATCCTACCCCATTACCAGAAGAGAATCTTGCTACTGGCAACCTCAATAGCAACAGTGGAGAACATAGCTTCTCATTACTGCTACTACTGATTTACAAGGAGGTAAAGGATCAATGAAGTACTAATTACAGTACCCTCTTTGGCCTCCCTCTATGCCAGATAATCCTCTTCTGGTGTCAGAGGAAGGAATCATACTTTCTGTCATTCCTAGGAAGATTGACTTTGTTTAATATAATTAAAAATGAATTGGAATAAAAGGAATTAAAGGGTTGGTCACCAGTCCCAGTGGAGTTTCCTTATTTTGCAGTGTTGATCCTTTGAGTCAGTCCTTACTTTAAAACAGAATGATGACTGCAGTACGCAAAACTGGGTCAATAAGGATGTATGAGCACTTTAACTGCACAGACTATGCTATCTCTGGATATGGTTTTTGTACTGTTAATTTATAGGGCTGTGTCAAATAATGCGTTGAGTGGGTTGTTGACTGTACACTCAGGGCTGTCGCAGTGATGCACACATTAGTGAAAACATTCATTATGGCTTCCCTGCTCCTGAGACAAAGCTGTTGGCCCCACCTTTCAGCAGTCCTTGGGGCCAGTTATTAGCTACTGTCTAAAGGCTTTGCACCTCAGGCAGTCTCTCTGGGATATTTTTCCTCTCAGGCCAGTGAAGAGATTAACTCCTTCATTCTTCAACCAGGATGGTGTACAGACACTCCATCAGAAGCACTTACTCCTGGGGGAATTCTGCGCCAAAAATTTTAAAATTCTGCGCACAATATTTTAAAATTCTGTGTATTTTATTTGTCAAAATAACAAGATATTATCATGTCATTTTCAATTATTTTGGTAATTTATTTCAAAATACCTGTCAACAAGTATGTCCATAACAGTACAGACAACAAAAAAGATCCAGGAAATGTTTTTTGACAAATAGATTGCTTACCAGGCATATTTATGCAGAACTTTGAGTAATAATTCATTTAAACTACTATACAGAACTGTATTTTCCACACCCCTCAAAAGCAGTGCAAAAGCTTGGGGGAGCCAGGGGTAAGAGAGGTGCTGAGGGAGAAGGAAGAAATTGCTGGGAAGGAGCCTGCGAGTGAACCTGGAGTGTTGTTGGGAGAAGCATAGAACAGGTTTTTTTAGGGGGTGGGGAGGATTGTTTGGGAGTTGGAGAGCCTCCCCCATACAGACCCTGGCTGACCCCAGCCTCTCCCATTCAGTCAGGCACATCTGCCCCTATGCCCTTGTGTCCCTGCACCCTGACTCAGCCCCCCTCTTCCCTCCATCCCCATGTGTCCCTGGCAGCCCCACCCCACTGTCCCAATGTGGCCCTGCACCCCCATCTCCATGTGGCCCTGCACCCCTACTCCCATTCAGCCCCCACCACAGTCTATTCCCTCTCACTAGCCCTTCTCAATACCAGTCTATGTGACACCCCTCAGCAGTCTCATGAGCCCAGCTCTGTCTGTCTGCCTCCACACCCATATCCTGTGCTGCATCCTCACCTGGCCTCAGGGCAGGGTGCTATGAGGAATGCAGTCTCTCTTCCTCCCTATCCGCTGTTGACTGCTACTGACAGTGAGCCAGCTCCCTTTGTTCTGGTGCCACAGCAGCCCCTGGTGGGAGAAAGGCATAACCGCAGCACCTCTCTGGCAGAATGTATTTTCTGTGGGGAAAAAAATCTGTGGGGGGACATGAATTCTGCATGTGTGCAGTGACGCAGAATTCCCTCAGAACTATCTTATAAGTAAGGCTGCGTGTCTGTCATGGAGGCCACGGATTCTGTGACTTTCTGTGACTTCTGCAGCAGCCAGTGCGGCTGGCTCTGGTGCTGCCCGAGCAGCTCATGCAGCCCCTGGGCCAGCCACGCCAGCCACTGCTGAGGCAGTCTCAGGCCACCGCCCTCACCCTCACCCCAGCAGCAGTAGTTTGGGTGTGGGAAGGGGCTCAAGGGCTGGGGTATGGGGCAGCGCTCACCTCAGGGGGGCTCCCTGGAAGCGGCCGGCATGTCCCTGCAGCTCCTAGGCAGAGGGGCCAGGAGGCTCTTCCTGGCCAGTGGGAGCTGTGGAGACAGTGCTCGTGGCAGCAGCAGCAGCACGCAGAGCCCCCCGTCCTTTCCTCCCCCTAGGAGCTGCAGAGACATGCCTGCTGCTTCCGGGGAGCTGTGCAGAGCCAGGTAGGAAGCCTGCCAGCCTTGCCAACCCTCCCACCCCCCAGCACCAGTGGGGGTCCTGGACCGCACACCGCCACTGCCCTCTCCCCCCAGCACTTGTGGTGCCCCCTCCCCCAGCCCACACCCCCAGAGCACCCGCAGCCCCCCAGCCCAAGTTTTAGTCAGGGGTATATAGTACAAGTCATGGACAGGTCATATGCCATGAATTTTTGTTTACTGACAGTGACCTGTCCATGACTTTTACTAAAAATACCCATGACTAAAACATAGCGTTACTTATAACACTGGAATATCTTTTGTAGAGAGTGAAGACTAGACAATGGTTTTTGTTTGAGCATATGGGATATTAGCTGTCTTTGTTCAAAGCTAGCAGGGTTGATTTAGGCAGGTTTTAAAATAGGACCGATGGGGTAAGACGTTTTGTTTACCCCAGTAACACTTTAAGCAGAGAAGGATTGAATACAAGATGATGGGAGTTAGCAATGACCAATAAAAGGAGCAATAGAATTCACTCTTTTTAAAAATACAAAATGTAAGACATTTGGGTAATAAGTAGGAAGAGCAGGAAGTGGTACTTCATGACACCAATTATTACCTTGTTCACACTACCAAAATATGGTGGAAGGGGTGAGTCACTGATTAGAATATTAATATAGCTATGACCCTGGATAGGCAAGACATAAAGAGGAAAGAAGGATGAGGTAGCACTTTACATCAGAAGTGAACACAAGAGCAGAAAAATATAAAATAACAACAGGAGGTGTGACTGCAAGATAACGTGGGCTGAAACATAGGAATGGGAAAAACAAAAGAACTCGCCATGGACATGTGTTGTAGACCACAGGGGTCAGGAGGAAATGACAAAAAGTGACATGTTATTGGAATAATTATCAGAAATGACTAAATAACCGATGGGTAGCTTTAATTATCCAGACATCTGCTGAGCATTAAGCACAGCAAAACATGAATCATCAAGGGCATTCTTGAACTATATGGAAGATAATTTAATGATGCAAAAAATAGAAGAACAAGCCAGAAGAGACATTACTCAGGTTCTCACAGTGAACTGCCCTGGAGGAAGTGACAGAATGTGAATGTAATGGGGGAGGGCTTGGAACAAGTGACCATAAATTAAATTACTTGAGTGTATAAGTAGTACCAGGGGCGGCAGGTTTGTATAATTTTTGGTGGTGCTCAGAACAGGTCCAAGTCCCACCCCCCTATACCTGCCTTGTAAGCTGATATATATTTTTTAAAATAATGTAAAAATGTGAGGGCTCTGGGGTGGGGCAGGTGATGAGGGGTTTGGGGTGTGGGAGCGGCTCAGGCAGCGGGTTGGGGCACAGGGGTGAGGGGTTCAAGACGGGGCTGGGGCAGATGGTTAGGGTGCGGGGGCATGAGGGCTCTGGTTGGGGGTGCAGGCTCTGGGGTGGGACAGGGCCGGGGACGAGGAGTTTGGGGGGCAGGCAGGCTGCCCTGGGGCTGGGGCCAGAGAGGATGACTCCCCCCAGCCCTCTCCCCACCAGCAGTAACCCTAAGCGAGCTCCGGGGGAGGGGACCCCCCTCTCCCCTCCTGTGCTCCTAGGGCCCCTCTCAGGTCCAGGAAGCCCCCTTACCTCCTCTGTGGTGGGTACTGGCAGGGGGCTGGCATCACATGTGCTGGTGGAGAGTCCTGCCGGAAAAGGGAAGGGTCCGAGGCAGAAGGACAGGGGCAGCCTGCCCTGGTACTAGTGGATGGGGGGTGCTAGGACCCTGTGGTGGCAGTTGATGCTGGGAGCTGGCAGAGCAGAGTGCAGGGCAGAGCTTCAGGGGGAACCGACTGGCGTCGAGGAAAGGGAGTGCTCAGGCGCCCGGAGGAGGTGGGTGGGGACGTGAGGGACAC